CACTCTCGGCCTCGGCTCAGGACCAGTTGGTGTAGTGGCATCACACCCGCTCAGCATGCGAGAGGGGCCGGGTTCAATCCCCAGCCTGTCCATGCCCATGTGCGCCTGCGTTGGTGTTTCTCGCTTTGGGTTTGCTGTGCGTCTTGCCAAGGGCGGCTGCTGCGCCGCGGCCGGGTGCCGAACGTCACTTTTGAATCCTATATAGAAATAGTAGAAAGTATAGAAAGTATAGAAAGTAGAAAGCTATCGGTCCCCAGGGCGCAAACCTGGTGCTCGCTGTGGACAAACGAGTGCGGCCTGGAAAAGCGCGGGAAGCGAAGCTTTTGTGGCTGGCTCCCTCTGGACCGATAGCCTTGCTGCATATTGGACTCAAACGCGACGTTAGGCACCCGGCCGCGGCGGAGCAGGCTGCGAACGGGCTGGCCGTGACAGAGCTTCAGCGCTGAAAGCTGTGCCCAGCAGGTAGTTGCGCACTCTCGGCCTGCTCAGCTCAGGGGCAGTTGGTGTAGTGGCATCACACCCGCTCAGCATGCGAGAGGGGCCGGGTTCAATCCCCGGCCTGTCCATGCCCATGTGCGCCTGCGTCTGTCACAGTTTGCCTCTCCCTGGTCTTTCTCCCTTTGGGTTTGCTGTGCGTCTTGCCAAGACCGGCTGCTGCGCCGCGGCCGGGTGCCGAACGTCACTTTTGAATCCTATATAGAAAGTAGAAAGCTATCGGTCCCCAGGGCGCAACCAGCAAGAACAGCTTCGCGTCCAGCGCGCTTGGAGGCCGCACTCGCTTCGCCGCAGCGAGCACGAACCAAAGGAGTGCGCCGGCTGCCTGCTCCGCCGCGGCCGGGTGCCTAACGTCGCGTTTGAGTCCAATATGCAGCAAGGCTATCGGTCCAGAGGGAGCGGCCAGCCACAAAAGCTTCGCTTCCCGCGCTTTTCCAGGCCGCACTCGTTTGTCTACAGCGAGCGCCAACCAAAGGAGTGCGCCGGCAGCAGAAAGGAAAAGGAAAGAAAAGAAACGAAGAAGAACAAGAAAAAAGTGAAAGAAAGAAGGCTGGTAAGGTACAGGGCTGAACGGGCGAGGGCGAAAGGGAAGGGAGAAGGCTGCCACAGTCACGCTCCAACGCTAAACGAACACTCCCCCAGCGCCTTCCCCTTGCAGGCAGGGGGGTCGGCGGATAATCTCTGTCCTTTCTATTCTTCACTGTACTGTCTGGCCAAGAGAATGAATGTAGGTGACCAGGAGATAAGACAGACACTTCCTCCAAGCCTAACCATCTCACCTACCAACTTGATTCAAGAGTCTAACCGTGGGAACCGAGCGGAGAGAGGGGAAGGAGAACAAAGGCATTTCCAGATTCATTTTGTAGTGTTTATCCCTTCCACAGATTAATACCTGGAAATGCATGAGGACACATCACTCACCCATTAACCAAGCCTTAGAAGCATTTGGATGGGTGAGAGATGAAGTGATTTAGAGATGAAAAGAACCTTCACCGGTCACTTCATTCCCGTCTATACCTTCCTTGAATTATTTTCATCTTACTATCCCATTCCTTTCTTCTTGGTTTTCATGTAATGTTGATGTGATAACCGAGAGAAGCGAGGGAAGTGATGGTCAAGAGACGGCTCTAAGAGACGAGGCAAGCCTTTATCATCCTATCTTCATTGGTGGAAGGAATGGAAAGGTATGACAAAGGAAAGACCAACAGTCACTTCTATCTATTCCTTGTCTTTTTCATTCCTAATTCATTCCTGTGTACACACTTTCATTATGTTCCACATGCAATCTTATTATTTCCTTTGTCAACTCTCAGAATCTAGAATAAAATAGTAAATAGAAATGCATTATGTGTAAGCTCTTGAATTATTATAGGATGTACACATGAAATCTTCTAATGAATGCAAATGAATGCAGGAAGAGATAAAATCCTTGACATAATGACCCGCGAGGAAATAGATAATGATAAAGGGAGCCACGTCCTCATTCTAATGCTTTTCCGGAGTCTTGATTGGGAACAGAGATGAGTTAATACATTTGGAGAAGATACGACAGAGAAAGAAGAAGTCCAGCTCCCAATGTCGACTTCATGTGATAACTCCTGGAAACCCATGACTCAGGAAATAGCAGGTTTACAGGATATGAGGAAGGCATTGTTTGGCGTTGCGCCGTGGTTTTGTTTCCTTTGTTTCTGCTGACCACCGCCGCTCTGACACCAGACAGGGACTCTCAGCGCCGCGGTCTTTGTCCAGCGCCATTCGTGTGTATGGGATCAACTAGACAACTGCTGTCGGGGTTACTGCAGAGGGAAGCGAAGCAGGACCAGTCCTGCTTAGGCAGCTTTGACCATGGCGCGCGGGTGTGTGTTTGTGTGTGTGTGTTTTTTGAGAGCACCTTATATTACCAAGGGAAACCAGAAGCAAAACACAATTTGTGGCATCGCCCTATTTTGACACGTACCCACACGCGTGATTGTTGGTTTTCCTTCTCACCCCGGCAGGACAGCCGCAGAGTGACGCGCTCTTTGCAGTGGCCACAACCTACACTTTCTTGCCACTTGGATGTCATCTTCTTCGGAGATCTTGAGTTGTTTTTCTGGTAAGTGGCCCAGGCGCCCAGTGCTCATGTGCTCGCGTCGATAAAATTATGGGCATGGCCACCATACGGGTTTCTCTAATATCCAATCCCTCTCTCCGCAAAAAAGTGGGCGGCTTGCGTCGTTCCCCTTTCAACCAGTACAACAACAGCACCCCAAATACGGCCTTGGCCGCAATTCGGAGTCACCCTTGGGTCGGCTGAGGTTCACTCTTGAGCTTCTTCTTCGATTGGTGGCTCGTCCGTCTGTCATCTGTGGGGAGGACCGGGGTTCCAGTAGCATGATCTTTCGTGCAGCCGCGGACATGGCAAAACCCCCAAACATATCTGCCCAAAAAGAAAGCGTCACGTTTTGGGATGGTAGTGGTTTCGCTGTGGTGGTGTCCCACCGCAGACAGGGAATGAGGATGATGTTTATCTTTACGCCAGAGAGTTGAGTTACCAAGGCTCCATCAAAGTCATCCAGGTGTCAAGAGAAGCAAAGCGGATTGGTGCTTTGATGTGTGATCCTGAGGTTGTTCTTGCTCTCTCTGTTGATCGAACACATTTTAGGTTCCACTCAGGAAGTCGCCATCTACGTTTCTTCCGACAAATAGTAGCAACCCAACGAAGCAATGAGCATGAAGTTCGGTCAAACTTATCATTTGGGGTTGCAGCAAGTTCTAACCATGAAGCCAACTCGCGTGTGAATGATTCTGTCAGGGGCTATTATGTGGACTAATATGGCTGTGAGTTTCAGGAGCCCACAGAGTGATGAAGCGATACGCATAATGTTCCGTGGCTGTCCCCGAACTGTTATAAGAAGTATCAGATGGCCATGGGTCAAAATCCAAATCGTAGCCCCAGTGAACATCCCAATCCCCACTAAAATAGGTCCTAAATGGGTGGTGAATTCACCTACCAAGCAAAATGGGATCCCATTGGTTTTGACGCGCCAGATCTACTACAAGCTGCGAAGCCCTTTGCAGGACTGGGCCTGGCTGCTGCTGGATACTACGGTGGTGTGGGCCCCCGCCATTTGGGGTGGGTCGCGCTTTGGTTTTGTAAAGTGCGGGCGGCTGAAAGCTATGGGATGTTTAGAGAGGCTCCGGAAGGGTTCCGGGGTTGATGTTGGAGATGTGCGGGCTTATTCGGAAATCCCCGCAGAGTGTCTTTTCTATCGGAAGGGGCCTGGTGGTTTGAACAGCATTGCAACGGACTTTGGTACTTGGCTAGTCCACTCCAAATGAGAAAATAGGAGTGACTGGGGAGGTTCCCATTCTGGTTCTTGAAATGGATATTGCAACCAACCATGTTGTCATGGTGTCCACCCCAAGGGCTGCCATGGGTTTAAGTGTGTTTTCCTTTACAATCCTTCAAAAAGGGTAGCTTCATAATAAAGAGGTACTAGGCCTAACATGCCCGCTTCCTCTTCTTTTAAGCATACAGGTGCTGACACCCTCTCTTCAAGGATCATGGCCGGACAATTTGGGCGCGCCTTTTTTATGGTACCCTTTTGAGCGTTGGCTTTAAGGAGGAACGAAAGGAAAACTAAATATTTGAAGGATCCCATTTGAGACAAGCCCGTTTGACGGAGTTCGCTTTCCTATAAGTAACCGAGAAGACGGTCTTGGAGCTTCCAATGGCAGACCCAGACCCCTCCATATTCCCGGAAGGGCTTTAGGGGTGCTGTGCAGTAAAAAACCACCATGTGCAAACTCAAGCATCCTCCCTGACTACCTCAACAAAGGTATTTGCCAGCCTCGGGCTTGGTCGACCGGATTTTTTGCAGACAGCGGTGCTGTTCCCTCTGAACAATGAAGCAAGAAATGCCAACCAACTGGTGCGGACAAAAGTCGGGTCCCGACCCAATCCATCCACTTGGAGATTCAACCAACTTAGCAACCATGGTTATTGCTGGGGTGGCTGCGATTAGTCCCCTGACCACCGTGGTTCTAACCTACTCAATCATAGGTTGCCTTTTTGGTTGGTTTGCTTAAAAAATCAAGGGCCCTGGTCTATTTTTCCAAAAGGCCACGTCTGTACCCAATCGGCGTCTCCACTGTCTCCAGAGGTGCTGACCAGCCTCTTGGAGTTTGTGCTGGAGCTGCAGCTGCATGCGGCGCCCTGGAACGGACAACGGGCAGGGACGCAGGGGATGAAAGGGACCCCTTTCTTTCCCTAAGCAAGGGTCATGATTGGATTTGAATGAGATGATCATTTGATATCACTCTGGGGTCCATTTCCCATTTCAGCCCGTTTGAACAACCCCTTTGGGACCAAATGTGATGCTTTATTGTCCTAAGAAACGTGTTGCAAGTCTCTTGACTCTTTTCTTGTTCGGGGACCCCAGGAACATGGTGTGTTATTTTTGTTTGGCCCTCCAAGACTCTTTTTGTTTCTTTTGGTTTATGTTTTGTTTAGTCCCCTCTTTGTGCACGAGGCGATGGTTTGATTCGAGCGAGGAACCCTTCAAGTATGGTGGGCAACAACAGACGATGTCCACCAAAGAGTTCCCCAGACAGATTAGAGAGCTGGACGCCGTGCCCGAGTGTTTGGAAGCAGAGAGATATCTGGCAAATAGCTAGATTTCAAGCAGAATCCAGAGCCATTGACGGCTGACCCTTGATTTCCACACAAACAAAAAAGACAAAGATAAACAACAAGAGAATGACAATAATATGAAAGAAACCAACAGTTAATAAAGATAAAGAAGACGCCTATTATTTTCATTCATTTTCTGTTCAAGATATGATCAAAGGAAGTTTAGAAGGAACTTCCGTGTTACGGCAACAAACTCTTTCTGTCTACCTCTATCTTTCTATCTGCTCTGGTCTATGTATCTATCTTTCTCTCTGAGACAAATGACAAGAGAAGGAATAAGCCCGCGAGAAAAAATGCGCGCGCGTATGGCAGGGGAAGAGAAAGTCGCAAAAAGCGTGGCCCTGTGCGTGAATTTGCATCTCCGGAGATGCGAAAGCTAGCCTGTCCGCGGCGTCTGGTCGGAGCGGTCTCGGAGCATGTTCGGAGCGGGCTCGGAGCGGGCTCGCACGGCGACGCAGAGGTTTCGCAGGGATTGAATTGCGTGGCAGGCGCAGCATTTTGGCAAGGTCGGGTGCAGATTTCGTGGCAGGCGCAGCACTTTCGCAAGGTCAAGTTTTCCCAAGGATTGAATTGCATGGCAGGTGCAGCACTTTCAAAAGGTCAAGTACAGAATTTGTGGCAGGCGCAGCACTTTCGCAAGTTTAGGTACAGATAGATATATAAAAAGAGGAGATAGAGAGATAGATAAATAGATAGATAGATGGATGGATGGATAGATAGATAGATAGATAGATAAAGAGAGAACAGAGAGAGCTAGAGATAGATAGATAGATAGATAGATAGATAGATAGATAGATAGATAGATTGAGAGAGATAGGTAGATGGATATATTAGACGGAAAGTAGAGAGTTAGAGAGAGAGAGAGAGATAGATACATGAAGAGATAGATGGATAGATAGATAGATAGATAGAGAGATAGAGAGAGCGATAGAGAGATAGATAGATAGATAGAGCGACAGATAGATAATAGAGAGATAGATAGATAGATAGATAGATTGAGAGAGATAGGTACATGGATATATTCTACGGAAAGTAGAGAGTTAGAGAGAGAGAGAGAGATAGATACATGAAGAGATGCATGGATAGATAGATAGATAGATAGAGAGATAGAGAGAGCGATAGAGAGATAGATAGATAGATAGATAGATAGATAGATAGAGAGATAGATAGAGCGACAGATAGATAATAGAGAGATAGATAGAGAGATAGATAGATAAGATAGAAAGTAAATAGTTAGAGAGAGATAGAGAGAGATAGATGATAAATAAAGAGATAGATAGATAGATAGATAGGTAGGTAGGTAGATAGATAGAGAGCGGGAGAGAGATAGATAGACACATAGATAGGTGGATAGATAGACAGGTGGAGAGAGAGGTAGGTCGATAGATAGATAGGAAAAAAGGGAGAGAGAGAGAGAGAGAGAGAGAGAGCGAGAGAGAGGAGAGAGGAACGAAAGGAAGGAAGGTAAAAATACGAAAGAAAGATGATGAAAAAGGGAAGGAAGGGCACGAAGGAAAGAAAGAACGAAAGAACGAAAGAACGAAAGGAAGGAAGGAAGGAAGGAAGGAAGAAAGGGAGAAAGAAAGAAAGAAAGACGGAAAGACGAGAAACAATGAACAACGAGACGGACAAAAAGAAGAAGAGAAACAGAGTCAAAAGAAAGAGAAAGAGAACTATAGTTTTTATATTTTTGAAACTTCCGCCCACCGGCTTCGCCGGCTCTACTGGTAATATCTGTATCTTGTAAATGTTGTATGTCTGTTTTTTTCTTATTCCTTAGGATCTAGAAGTTAATGATCCAACAGGAAAGGACATAATGCAATATAACTCTATTTGGAATCTTATGGCTGGAATTCCCCCTGCATCTTTCTTTTCTTTCCTGTTACACTGTTTGGCACCAGTTCTAGATTGCAAGTTTTAGATTGCAACTCTTTGAGTTTAAGTCATATCTTAATTAGATCTTATTGTGTTGAATTAGAAGTAGAGAGGTGGTTCTTTCCAAGTAGGATTGAATTGGGTGTCAAGCGTAATCCAATAAGGAAAGAGAAGCTTGTTGTTTTGTTTCTGCTTTGCAAGCCCTTAAAAGGAGTGTAAAAATTGTAAACACTCATGGAACAAAGCAGATTCCACTCCAAGTGTTTTGCATTTTTTACATTGCGAGTCTTAGATTTAAATGGGATGGTGATGGGGATTTCAATCACTTTTACTCGAGTTAGATATTAATTTGCACTTCCCTTCCAAGTAGGATTTCAATTAGAAGCTATTCAGTAGTTTGAAATTAGTTTAGATGGTTAACAATATTTTGTCCAAATATGGGCTCAATCATAATTTCATTTGCACTGGGGAATGATAAGCTCACCAAACGGCTAATGTCTGACTTTACCACCAAAAAAGACAAGCTTAAACGCTTCGCGTTGCCCGCCTCGGCCAGAATGCTTTTGGCTGGCTTTGAGGTCCTGTGTGTTGGTTTACCGTGAAGTGTTGTGTTTGTCTGAGTGAGTCGGCGCGAGAATTTGACCTGTCTTTTTTTGGTGGGAACTTGATCGGTTTTTAGAAACCGGTGCTTAGAGGATTGATATTCTATGGCAGGATGGCAATTCCCTAAGCTCGAAGGAAAGTGCGGCGCCTGTGGGTGACAAGCACGTAGGCTACTCTCACACAAGTGGAGTAGTCTCAAAGACCGTGGTGTTTGTTACTTTTTTAGGATTGTCCCTTTGAAACAGTGCAAAAAGGGGTACCAAGCCTCACGCCCCTTCCATCAGCATGTTCGATTCTTCCGAAGCTTTGGGTGTCAAAAGGCCTTTGAAGCCAAGCAGGTGTCACACCCATTGGGTTCGTCTCGGAATCAGTACCCTCAAAAGCAAATGTTCGCACCAATCAGACCAGGAACGTGGCAACGAAAACAAAATCAAGGAGACCCAATCCCAGCGGCTCAGGAGGGAGAGGCGGGATCCAATGGCATCTTCAGCAACATGCGGCTTCTTCGGGTGCTGCGCGTGGCAAAGATCACCAGAGCCCTGAGAATCATCAGGCGCCGACGTGGCATACGCTGATGAGAACCCAGGTCTCTTCTCTTAAGGTGGTTTAGAAGGAAACAAGCAGGAAAACCACCCATTTCTGGGGCCACGTATTTTAAGACCGCTGGTTCAACCATCACCTTTTGATTGCCACTTTTAGATGAGCTCCCTCTCGGGTGATGAGGAAGTATGGGGAGCCCCGCTTGAGGTTTGGTCGACCTTTTCAGCCCATTGTGAATTGCGGCGGGACATCTCATTTCAGAGGGTCCAGGGTTGCTCCCACATGGAATTGATGAGCGGGTTTTTAGATATTGGCAATCACTTGTGAACTCGGCCAATGGAACACCCAAGTATCCCAAATGGACAGGCCTTCCAAGTCTCACATGGTAACTAGGCGTAGTCCTTCGAATTGTAGCTTAGAACCATGGTTATAACCTACCTAGCGGCTTGAACACCCAAATGACGCATCAGGGGTTGTTCCTGCGAATAAACCTCGTTGAGACCTTCTAGGATGAAAATCTTATTGAGACCCCAGCTAGAGGGGGGGTGCTTTGGTTTCCATGTTATTTTGTATGGCGGCCTTGGCCAACCTAGAATTGCCCAAATCTCCTTGACCAGGCAAGTTGAACCTATCAACAAAATTCACTCTTTCAAAGGGGTGCTGAAGAATGGGTGGCTCCAAACACAGGCCACGGGCTGGTGACGGGTAAGTTCAGAATCGTCATTGAGTATGATCAGCATGTGTCAACAAAGGGGGACCCCCAAAATGGTGGCTTTTCTTTCAGCTTCCCTTATATATGAAGCCATGCGAAACGGGCGCCCTCAAAATCGCACACACACACACAGATAATGTACAATTCTATGACTGGTCCTGTGACTCAAGGAATGCAAAGTTTTGTGGGTGGGTTTCAGTCGCAGGCCAAAGACAAAGCCCTGCGCAGACGGGGAAAGAGGGTCCCCCAAAGGAGATATCTCCGCAAGTGGATCGGGTTTTGCAGGGTTCATCTTAATCTGCAAGGGGAGAACCGCCCAGACGCTCCCATATTTTAAGGGCCACCTTAAGTGCCAAAAGAGTGCGAAAAGAGTGAACCCCTGGGTGGAATAATGGGGCATCGACAAGTTGCCTACTGGTGATTACCCCTCCAATGCAGACCCCCGGCCCCTCCAATGCAAACCCCCCACCGATTCCTCAAGGGGCCTTAAGTCCAGAGCCATTTTGTGGACTCCCCAAACAGTCGCAACCCTTAGGGTACAGTCATACCACACAAAATCAGGTGGTTGCTTTGCGGTAGTCAACGGGGCCTGGGCAATTTTTCTTCGGCCAGTCTTTTGCCGATGGAAGAAGTATAGTTCCCCAGTTGGGCGTATTTGGGTGTTGTGTTTTTTGAGGGTACCGATGTCAGTCAGGTTGGTTCAAGGGGACACCAAAAGGAAACTACACATTGTGGGAATACCCCTATTTTGGCACACCCATATTTCCTTCACAACCTTTTGATTTGGTGGACTTCCCATTGAAACTTATCAACCCCGAAAAAGGGTTCCAATGCTTCGTCGAACGGGCTGATTGGTCTTAGGACCAACATCTGTTGCCAGACGTGCAGTTCAACTCTTTTTCTTGTTATTTTCTTTTTTTTTGCGTGTTTCCTTCATTTTTCCCTTTCCAGCAAAGAGTTCTCACTGTTTACGACGCCTAGCCCATGAGTTTCGGGCGCTCAGTCGGGCAGGGTGGTGAAGTTTGTGCGCGCGCTGAAGTCCCTCCTCTTTTGCATTGGCCGGACCATGCGAGCATTGGTGACTGGCTCAGAGAGCGAGTGAAGAGGTTCGGCCCGGCCTTTTGGGGAGCTTGAAATTAGATTGAGCCAGGATTCAAAAACCCTTGGATGATTGCGGGGTGTCCCTTTTAGGGCAGATCCCTCGCTCTTGGGGAAGCCCCCGACCCAATCTGCTAGGTTGATTATTCTTGGTTCAAGTCTGGCCAAGTGAACATGACCAGTGCTGAGGCATGACCCGGATTTCACCTTTTAAGTGTAAGAACTTGCACGAGCTCAGGCCTTTTTTGCAATCCACAGCAAGAAGCGTTCCACACTTCCCAAAACGGCCGTGAGTGCAGATTGCAGGAACGAAGCGCTCTCGATCAAAATGGGGCATGAAAACGGCGGCTCACTTGGGGCAATAGCAGGCCCCAAGTGAGCTGTCGTGTTCATGCCCCAGTTTGATCAAACACGTTTCGTTTCTGCAACCTGTGCTCACAACCGTTGTTGGAAGCCCGGAACGCATCTTGCTGTGACAAGGCCTTGCAACAAGGTCGGGAACCGAGCTCGACTTTCCAAACCCAGGGTTGAAATTGAACAAAGTTGGGCTAACGTCAGTTTCTGCGCACCCGTAACGCCATATGAAGAAACCCGGTTCATTTGTTGAGACCCCATAAATTGGAAGAGTTCTGAGAATAGGGGGGGCATGAGTGTGCCGCGTTTGGTGCAAACAGTCCCAGTCTCCGATCTCATCACCGAGATGGGTGATAGGAGGCAGCAGCAAACATGTCAAGACTCACGACTCAAGTTCCAACCAATTTCAAACTTCGACAGTTTCTCCAAACTCGGGCTGTTGCGATTGGAGAAGCTCCGAGCTATGGCCCGTTGTCTCCAAACTCAGTGAGGGCAGTTTGGAGATACTCCAAACTCAGGCTCGTAATCTTCAAACTCTAGCCTTTAGCCCATTTCTCCCAACTCAGCCTGAGTTTGGAGAAACTCAGGCTCGAGTTTGAAGATTTCCAAATTCGGGCCCGAGTTGCCAGACCCAGGCCCGTTTTCCCCCAACTCAGGCCCATTGGGGCCTGCGTTCACTCTTTAAAGTCAGGCTCCTTTTCTCCAAATTCAGCCTTTTTTCTCTAACTCAGCCCGTTTTCTCCAAACCGTGCATGACTTTGCAGATTCTCTAAACTGAGGCATGTGTTCTCCAAAAACTCAGGCCCGAGTTTCGAGAATCTCCAAGCGCAAGCGCACCGCCCGAGGTTGGAGAAAACGGACTTCAAGTTGGAGATTCTTCAAGCTCGAACTGAGTATCAAATTTTGGCAAACTCGGGCCCGAGTTTGGAGAAAAAGGGCTCATTCTCCTAACTCAGGCCCGTTTTCTCCAAACTCGGGATGAGTTTGGAAATTCCCCAATCTCGGACAGATTTTCTCCAAACTCAGGCCTGCGTTCGGAGATTCTCCAAACTCAGTTCGGAGATTCTCCAAACTCAGTTTGGAAATGCTCCAAGCGCCGGCCCATTTCCTCCAAACTCGGGCGCGCTTGGAGATTCTGAGATTCTCCAAGCTCGGGCCCGAGTTTGGAGAAAACGGGCCTGAGTTTGGAGATTCTCCAAACTCGGGCCCGTTTTCTCCAACCTCGGGCTGAGTTTGGAGATTCTCCAAACTCCAAATTTCAATGTGTTTTTCTCCTGCAGAACGCTTATTTTGCCTGAAAATCTCTGTCCGAACGCTTATTTTCTCCACCAAAATACTTGCCGAACGCTTCTTCGCGTGTTTCACAAAATGAGTTTGGAGAAACCGGGCCTGAGTTTGGAGATTCTCCGAACTCAACACGGGGTGAGTTTGGAGATTCTCCGAACTCGGGCCCGTTTTCTCCAAACTCGGGGTGAGTTTGGAGATTCTCCGAACTCGGGCCCGTGTTCTCCAAACGCGGGGTGGGTTTGGAGATTCTCCGAACTCGGGCCCGTTTTCTCCAAAATCGGGGTGAGTTTGGAGATTCTCCAAACTTAGGCCCGTTTTCTCCAAAATCGGGGTGAGTTTGGAGATTCTCCGAACTCGGGCCTGTTTTCTCAAAGCTCGGGCTGAGTTTGCGGATTCTTCAAAGTCAGGCTTGTTTTCTGCAAACTCAGGTTCAGTTTAGAAGTTCTCCAACCTCGGGCCCTGTTCCTCCATTTTCCAAACTCGGAGAGCTTCTTGGCTTCGTACAAAGAGTTTGGACTAACCAGGACTGACAAGTCTTCTTCAAACTCAGGCCCTTTTTCTGCAAACTGGGGCCTGCGTTTAGAGATTCTCCAAACTCAGTTCGTTTCTCCAAACTCGGCCCAAGCTTGAGATGATTCTCCAAACTCAGTCAGGGCTGTTTTCTCCAAAGTCGGCTTGAGTTTGGATAATCTTCACGCTCAGGCCCGTGTTTTGCAAACTCGCCTGGCTTTGCGTGCGAAGACGCGTTTCGCAAATGTATTGGTGGCGACTATCCGCTTTTCGATGGAAATTGAATGGGTTAAACAAGGGTTTTGTTTGGTCAATCTAGACAAGACCAAGTTCGGCAAATCTCGAAACTCAATGCTATCCGGGCCAATCAAGCCTTGTGCCAGCAAAACACGCCAAACAAGGACTCCAAATCTCTGTCAAAACATGCGGACACACCTTAGCAAGCTTGTCTCGGGAAGCGCTGCTCCCATTTGCTCCGAGCAGTGTTCCGGAATAGGGTAATGCAAGTGACTACATCACGATGGCGCAGCCCTTTTCCTTGGGGAGTTGCAGATTTGTGAGGATAATGCTCGCTTGTAAGTTCGCCTTGAGTTTGGAATGTGCCCCAATTTTAGGCTTGCTTTTCTCCACGTCTTAGCCTGAGCTTGGAGATGTTCCAAGCTCTCCCAAACTTAAGCTCGCTTTCTCCTAACCCAGCCCTGAGAAATCAATTTGGGGGTCCCTAAAGTTGGCCTTTACTCAGCCTGGGCATGGTCCAAGCGGTCTTGGCGTGTGGGGTTACCGGTTGAAAACCTTTGTGTTTTTTGGTTGCAAAAACGTAATCTGAGCTGCTTGAGGCACTGGAAGAGTGGTGGTGTGCGTTATTTTTTCTGAAGCCCTTGGAACGCTTCTGCAAACTATTCCCCGGGACCTCGCGCAAGTTACTGTAAGGGGAAGCCAAAAGGGGACTGTTTTGGAGGGTCCAATCCCGATTTGGCACATGCCTTGCTTCTGCGAGAGCCCTGCTGATGAATGGGGCAGAAATTTTCGTCAGGGATCAGCATTCCCCCATGCAGTAAAGGAACCGGCACTTGA